GGGTAGAATGGTCTCCCCCACAAGAGATATGCTCAGGCCCTAACTGCCAGTACCTGTGCATGTGACCTTATTTGGACATAGGGTCTTGGCAAGTATAATCAAGTTAAGATGAGGTCATAGTGGATTAGGGTGGGCCCTAATTCAGTGACTAGTGTTTTTATAGAGAGGCCATTTGGACACGGACACAAAGACACAGGGAAGGGCACTCTGTAAAGACAGGGGCAGGGATTGGAGTGATACATCTACTAGGCAAGGAACACCAAGGATTGCTTGCTGGCCCCCACCAGAGCTTGGGGGGAGGCATGGAGCAGACTCTCCCTCAGAGCCCCTAAAATCTCAGCCAGCACCTTGATTTCAGACTTCTGGTCTCCAGAACTGAGAGAGAATAAATTACCTTTGCTTCAGGCTACTCAGTTTCTGGTTCTTTGTTCCAGTGGGAAACTAGTACAACCAACGGGTATTAAGCACTCATCACCTTTCCCAGCATGGTACACACCTTGTACCACAAAATCCCCTCAGTATCACCAAAAGCTAAGTATTGTGGGTATCCCTTTTTTACGGATGAGGAAATTAAGGTTTGGGAAAGTTAAATGAACTTCCTAAGGTCAAGCACTAGGATGCGGTAGAACTTGGATATGTACCAGGTCTTCTCAGCATAGAGTTTGCCCTAATCATCACAAACACTGACCTATGGTCAGAAGCCAAGATTCCAGGCACACTTTGCCATCTGCATTCACCAACAAACTTCCCAGATGGAAATCTCTGTGCTTCCTCCCTCCATTCTATCTGCTGTCACTGGAGCTCTGCTGTCTATCACGTCTCTCCCAGAAGATGTGTGGGTAGCAGATGTGGCTTGGAATTTGATAAGAACTTCAACACATCCTTTCCATCTGCTTTGAATCCTCCCACTGGAGGGACAGCTGAACAAACAGCCCACCCCCTCTAGGTTGGTATTGACTGAAGTGGAGACTCCTGAAACTGTGTGAGACAATTATAAAAGGTCATTTCCACTTAAAGGAACATTTTAGAGCACGGCCATCACTGTTGTCAGTGCTACAGCTATTTTTCTGCCATCCTTTCCCATACTAACTCTTCAGGGCCCAGGAGGAGGAGTGAAGATCTTTGCAAGCCATTTAATGCTTGGAGTCAGAGACATATCTGTCCTGTTCATGGGCATGTCACCAGAGCCTAACATAATGCTGGACACAAAATTCTCAGTGAATGTGTGGACCAGATGGATGAAATAGTAGTGACTGCAGCACAAGCTCAGACCACGCTTGTTGGAAGAAGTAAATGGTATGTTAGTGGTTGTATAAGAAATGGAGAAAGTCAGTGACTTATTCTGTCTGTGGCCATGAATTAGTTCACAGTGTCCCAAGTCTTAGTAGGAGGGTGAGTAGGAAAAGAAGGAAAAGGGCCAGGATCTGGAGCCAAATCTGAAACATCCCAACAATAACTTGAAGACAGCAGTTTCACAATACAACACTTGGTACTTAGGCTTTGGAGAATCAGATGAGGTGTGGATAAGAGCATGAATTTAAAAGACAGGTGACGTAGGAAGTACCACTTCCTAGTGGAGTGACTTTGGACAAGTAACCAAATTCTCATCTGTAAAAGTGGGATAAGAGTGGTACCTACACTACACATTTGTGTGGAAATTAAATGAGATAATACACAGGGTGAGTAAGACATGGGTGTGATTATCTTTTTCAGTCCCAGACTAGTCCCCTTCCCTCACATGCCAGTCCTCCCAACATGGCATTTGCTGTTCCTGGCACAAATGCAGTCGTTCCCTTTGCACAGCACCTGTTCCTTGTCCAGTCTCCCCACTTGGTGCCAGTGCTACTCTGTCTGCTGGATGTCTTGGATTCTGCTGGAGACTTGCTGGATCTCAGAGAGCTGGGGGTAGCAATCAGGAATCTGAGTTCTAGAGCTTGAGTGCTCTCTTCCTACAGTGCATCCAGGCCAAGATTTACAGATCCAGGTAGCTGAATCCTAAGATAGCATGGTTCTCTTCCCTTTGTCTAGAATGTGCCTTCCCCATCTCTGCCTTGCTGGTCCTGGGTCTCTACTTAACCACTACATCCCCAAAGCATCTTTTATTGAGTCAGGGTAAGTCCTCCATTTAAACACTCACAGAACGCCACACAGTTCTTCAGGGGTTTAATCACAATTGAAGTAGGCCATTATTTGGGCCTGAGTGTGAACCTCGTGAGGACAGGGACCTTATCATTCCAGATCCCCACTGCCTCTCAGTGCCTGGCACATCCTAGACACTTGTTCATGCTGACTGAATGAAGGGGCTAACTGGCCAACCTTCCAGATCCTGAAAAGACCAGGAAAAGTGACATGTTTAGAGGGCCAAGTGAATTCCATCTCTGGTGCCTTCACTCAATTGAAGCTTTTCAAAAAAAATTGATTGAAAATAGTGTGCAAACCCAAACCCAAGAATTAACAAACTCAGGTGACGGGAGCCACATCTGACAATGCTGGGTGGCATTAGTGCAGGTATGAAATTAGATGTTTATTGCTGCATTAACAAATCACCCCCCAAACTCAGAGGTTTAAACCAATAACAGTTTATCATTTCTCACCGTCCCTGGGAATGAGGAAATTGGGATGCTTACTCAGGGATTGTGATTTGGGGTCCTTGCAGTAGCAGGAGCTGGTTCTGGAGCACCTGGAGCACCTAGAGCCATCTGAGCACTAGGCTCTTCATGCAGTCTCAGGGTCTGTCCATGCAGCCTTATTCTGTGGCCTCACTAGCATGGTGGCCTCAGGCTGCAAAGGCTGGTGTCCCAAGAGAAACTGACAGAAGCTATTGACTTAGAAGTCATGTAGGATCACTTGCACAGTATTCTGTTCATTGAGGCCACTACAAAGTCCTACCCAGGTTCAAGGGGAGAGGTCAAAGTCATAGACTCTGCTTCTTGATAGAGAAGTGTCAAATATTTACAGACAAGTTTTAAAATTACCACAGAATATCAGTTCCTTTATAACATTGGGGAAAGCTCTCAGAAAGCTCTCTGAGAAGAGGCAGGGAGATATCTATTGAAAAGGAAAGCTTTCTCTATGACTTCTTTCATTCAGCACAACACTCTCTAGGTCTATCCATGTTGCCACAAATGACAAAATTCCACTCTTTTTATTGCTGAGTAATACTCCCATGTGTTTGTGTGTGTGTGTGTGTGTGTGTGTGTGTGTGTGTGTGTGTGGACTTCTTTGAAAAATTGAAGGGGAATAAGAAGTACTAACTTCCAGTTAAAAAATAAATAAATCACAGGAACATTAAGTACAGTGTAGGGGATATCTCAATAATATCTTAATGACTTTGTATGCTGACCAGTAGGTACTAGACTTACTGGGCATTGTATCATAAGGCATATAAATATTGAATCACTAAATTGTATACCTGAAACTAAAATAGTACTGTATGTTAGCTGTAATTTAATTTTAAAAAAAGAAAAGGAAAACTTCATTAGAATATTAAGGAGCAAAGAAAAGTTCCCTTCTTACCCCCATGAGTTACTGCTGAGAAATTGTGAGGAAAATCAAGATGAAAGGATTGTTTTGCTTATGGACACCTCCTAACCACCATATTAAATGAATCAGTTTTGATAGCACCTCAAATGTTCCTCAAAACACATTGAGTGATTAGATTCAAGAGGAAGGGAGGCAATTGTTAAAATACAGACTTCCTGGCCACAGCCCAGAGCTGCTTCTAAGTGAGAGGTGGTGCTTGGAATCTGTACTGTAAACAAGTTTTCCCAGGGATTTTGATACAGGCAATAGGCACTGTGCTTTTATAAAGAATGAATTTGCCTTGTTTTAAGTCACCCGATGATATTTGGCTTCCTGAAATTTTTATTTTCATTAAGATTTGAGCTACTCAAGCAATAATTTTGTCTCATAGGATCTCTAAGAGGCATAAATCTACTCAAACTAATTTAATTTAAATCACAGTGATAATTTTATTGGAGGGATATGGGGGGTTTTAATGGGAAACAACCAAGCCTTGAGAGAGACTGGAACCTGGAGCTGGAAAGCAAGCTCTCTGCTCATTCTATGATGTTTTTCTCCTCACACATCCATTTAATTCTTCTTGGCCTGCATGTGGTAAAAACAAACCTTTATAGACAGATCCGTGTGTTTTCCCAGTGCAGGGCCCCAGGACTGACTATTTGGAGTATACTAATAGCAAATTCTTAGGAAGAGAATCTGACTGGCTCAGCTTAGGTCAGTTATCTACCAGTCAGCTGTGGCCAAGTGGGTCTACTGCCCAATCAGGAGGTTCTTCCTAAGTGGCTCCTTGGAAATGGTACCTGCTGGTCACTGTTCCCTCTGGCACAGTCATGACCAGTGAAAAAAGTGATGTGTTGTGAACCACATCAATTAACATGCCCTGATTGTGACCACAGCTATATGGAAGGAGGCCCCAGGACAATAGGGGAGTATGTTCAAATATTATATTAATCATCCTTATAATTATGTCAGAAGTCTTTCTTCCTCTCTGGAGTATAAAGTCAGAGAATGTTCCTGCTTGTTTATTGCTGTATCCCCAGTGCTTACCAGGCTCTTAATGAATATTAAATGGTTGAATGAATAAGGGAACAAGAGATCCATATTCAGTTTTATCAGGAATTTCCTCCTTCAACAAATATTTATTGAATATCTACTATGTGCCAGGTACAATTCTGTGGCCTTGGTTTACACCAGTGAACAAAACAGGCAAAGATACTTGCCCTCATGGGGTTTATATTCTAGCCATTTTGCTGGGCATTGATCTGTATCCCAAAGGGATCAATACTTGGTCATTGCTCTTGGAACTGTCCTTAATGATTGGGTTCAGCTATTGCAAGTGTGAGGTCTGTGGAAAACTTCATCTGTTGTTTTAGTGTCAATGGAAAGCATGTGGACGAAGATTTGAATGAACATTAGCTACCTTGGCTTTCCCCTGGGACCACTTCCAACCACCCTGACCTACTTGTTCTCTTTCCCAGGTCATGCTCTCAGAGCGCAAAGGCACAGATGAGCTCTATGCCGTGAAGATCCTGAAAAAAGATGTTGTCATCCAAGACGATGATGTGGAATGTACCATGGTGGAGAAGCGTGTGCTGGCCCTGCCTGGGAAGCCGCCGTTCCTGACCCAGCTGCACTCCTGCTTCCAGACTATGGTAATGTGTCTGGGGGCCCTAGTGCTTCCCCTCCAGGGTTTCACTGGGCTTTGGCCAAAGATGTCCCAAAGAGATACCTGTGTCCTCCTCATTATAACACAGGAAAATGTGGGGCCCAGAGGAGGCTGCTGAGAATTTCCGAGGTGGCTGCTGAGAAGTGCTCACCCCTTGAGGCAGGTGCTGTTTCAACAGAGATAAAGGAACATAGGCAATTGGTTTTATAACCAACAGAGCAGGGCTTTTCTCTGACAGCAAGAGGTGACTTGGGGACAGGAACTCAGGACTTTAGGTTTCACAATATGAGATGTAATAGCAGGTGGGAATGATGGCAAAGGTCCACACATTTCAGGGGTGTCAAACTCATTTTTACTGGGGGCCACATCAGCCTCTCGGTTGCCTTGAAAGGGCCAAATGTAATTTTAGGACTGTATAAATGTAACTACTCTTTAACTAGGGGCAAGGAGCTCAGCAGTGCTGTCAGGTAGAAACAAGGTACCAGGCCAGATAAAACAAGATGGACAGCCGGATTCGGCCCAAAAGCCTTGTGTTTGCCACCTATGCTCTAGATGGTTATAGGCAGCCCTCCAGACCCTTTGGCTAAGTGCTCCAGTCCCTTCTGCAAGTTGTATGGACCTCCTTGGAGGAGTGGCTGCCTGAGAACACAGTCCTTGGAGGGCTCCTAGGTTGTGGGGCACAGTACCCTAGGCAGGGGCTAGTGAGCTCAGAGCTGGGGCTCCCGAGGAGGGGACATTTGTGTACTATCTGCTACTGATCAGGTGTGACTCCAACTCTGTGAAAGCAAGAGACATCCCTTTAAAAACATCTTTGCCTTGTCCCTTTTTAAATTAGACTATGGTTTCCATACCTAAGGAGGGGGAGACCTGAGCCCCTATTGCAAATAGGGACAAAGTTAATTCTTGCCTTTGGGGCTTCTAAGGGCCAGTGGTCTTGTGCCTTAAAGGTGCTTTCAGGACATTTTCAAGATGATTTTGACTCCATCCAGCTCTTACCCTACATGCTAATTTTAGAGCCCTACCCCTATGTGAGATATTACATATAATATAAATATTGGGACTTCCTCTCTTCTCCAACATCACCAACTCCTATGTGCTGCTAAATTAGGTTGAACACATCCAGCCTCTAAAGACCCAGAACTGGATTTGGGGGGGTTTTCTCAGTGCAGACCACACACCAGGCACAGGACTGCCCTGTGTAAAAGGGCCTAGCTCCTTTTATGTTCTAAATGGTCTTTTAATACATTTTGAAGTCAGAGAGACCTGAGTTCAAACCTGGCTCTGTTGCTTACTGACTGAGTGACCTCGGGCAAATTATATAACCTCTTTGGGCTATAATTTTTTTTAATCTGTAAAAAGGATGAGATAATAGTAGGTATATATCCAAGGTTATTGTGAGAAGGAAATGAGATTACACATGCACAACACGTAACATAGCACTTGGTACCTGGAAAATGCTCAGTAGATATTATTTATTTCATAAATGTTGGCCTTGACCTTGACTAAATCCTGTTGTATAGAGCTGAGTAAGCTAGGTCCTGTTTTTGAGAAGTTTATGGTCTTAGAGCAATAGTTAAAGATAATGCAATAGGGGCTGTGATAACAAGACCTAGAAAGGTGGATGGGTCTGCAGATTGTTGCCCGATTGCCATGTAGTGTTTGCTTTTTAGGTGATGAGATGATTTTCTTCTGGTGCCAGGTCCTCCAAATCTTGGAAAGCCTCCCTACCACAGGGGTCATGGGAGGACACATTTTATGCAAATGTGTATAGTATTCCCTGTGGGGGCTTTAGTCCACCAGCCTCTCATTGAGGTCTGCTGGGTGACAAGAGGCTACAAGAACACCCTTTGCTCTGCCACAAGCAGGACTAAGAGGTGGAATTGTATTTGGCACATTATAGAGCAGCCACTTGTATGCAAAATGGCCTTGGACAGTATGAAGGGGATTTGGGTAGACTTTCAACTATACTCCCCTTTTCAGTTCACTTGAAGTTTTTCCAAGAACCTCAAGAAGAAAGTTTCTGTTTGGTGTTACTCTGCCCACAGCATCTTCCTGATACTTGGCTTTTTAACAGAGAGGTTACCAGGCCTTAGGTTCTAGCTTTGGCAAACAGCAGTTTCTAGGTCATTGTTTTGTTTTTGTTATATTTTTTTTCACAGATTTCTTCTATTTATGACAGCACTATAAAGTCTTTTAATTTTGAAATATTGGAAAAAATACAGAAAAACACACAAAACAGACATTTAGTAATTAGTTATTACCAGGTTAAGTTCTCTGCCACTACCCAGGTCAAGAAAGAGAACTTTGCAGGCACTCTAGAAGTTTCTCTGCATTCTAATTTAATGTCCCCCAGTGGTAGCATGACTTCCTTGCATGTCTTTTATTTATTTTTTTTGAAGATTTGATTTATTTTTTAGAGAGAGGGGAAGGGAAAGACAGAGGGAGAGACACACCAGTGTGCAAAAGAAACATCTCAGTTGCCTCTTGTAGGCCCACAACCAGGGACTGGGCTGCAACCCAGGGATGGGCCCAGACCGAGAATTAAATAGGCAACCTTTCAGTTCATGGGATGACTCCCAACCCACTGAGCCATACCAGTCAGGGTTTCCTTGCATGTCTTTATCATTTTATCTCTGTGGCTTAATATTCCCAATTTTAGAAATTGGATATGTTTTGTAGGTCTTTTAATACAGTGATTTTCTGCTCCATTCTTTCCTTTGCTCTGTCCTTTTATCTGCTGATGATCTCTGTTGGCCCCATAGAGGGTTCACAGTCTGGATTTTGCCAATTGCACAGTAGTGGGGCATCTCCACATGTTTCCTTTGTCCTCCATGTTTCCTGAAGACTGTTGACTGGACCTGGGCTTGGTCAGACTCAGGTTTGATCCCCTCAGCAAAATCATAGGTGGTGGATGTTCTTTTTTCTGAAGGCAAATAATATCCAGCTTCCTCTCTTTTTGTGATGTTGGCAACCACTTATGCTTTGCAGCCTAGGTCCAATAATTCATTAAGGATTGTAAGAATTCAATACCTTAATTCTAACATTCCCTTCTCATTTAATAAAAGAGCACAAGATTCCCTCATCTAGTGCCTGGTGCCCCAGGGGTACAGTTCATACAGGAAAGGCAGGCTTAAATGCTTGATTCCCATTATTTGTCAATTTCCATGAATTGGTTATTATGCTCCAAAGGTGGCTAAAGTTTGCTTTTTTTTAACAGGAGAAAATCAAAGTTTAATACATGTCCATGAGGAGGTCACATAAGCATGAACATTCTGTGAAAATTCCAAAGACAATGAGACTACATTGGGTATACAAGACATTTTTGAGCAAAGGAGAAAGTAGGAAGAGGACTATTAGATTTCAGAAGTGAGAATGGGTGATTTACAGGAAATTGATGGAGAGCAGAACAAACATGGCAGAAAAATCTCCCTCAGTGACTCAGAAACAATGAAACATGAGGAGGGGTTATTCAGCTAACAAAAGCTAAAGTTTGCTTTTAAAATAAGATTTTTGAGGAAGAGAGCCAATGCAAAGAAAAATGTGATATTAGCAATAATTCGTGTCATCTGGGGACTTGGCAAAGATAAAGAGGGAGTGCTTCTTTCCAGTTCAAGTCTGGGGAGTTAAGGCCTCAAGGTATTCAAGTGGGGGCTGAGATGGGGCTACACTAGACTCTCAAACCTCTAGGTTTCCTCTTTCTCTGTCTTCTCTTGTTTCCAATGTTGGTTCCCAAATTGGCTCACTGAATTCAGCAGATGAAGGACAGTCTCAGTCTAGTAAATAGACTGGGAAGGAGATCTTGTACTCGAGGTAGAGGCCAGGGTCAGAGGAGCAGGGTTTTCCATTTCAGTTGGATGTGTTGAGATTGGAAGAAATTAGTCATCTGTGATTTGTTGAAGTTAATATTTTTATTTGTAATTTACTGTTTTAAACATGATAAATTAAGTTTGAAATTATTCCTTAACTACTGAGCTGCCTCACTCACTCATGTTTCAGTATGCTTTTTGGAAGGAGGGAGGAGGGCCTGGGTGCTCATGAAAGTTGCAGTGTGCTGGGTCCCCCCCCCCCCCAAGGAGCTGCCACACACCAGGGAAAAGGTGAAAGGTCCAGAGAGAGCCCAGAGCATGTGTGTGTGTGGTGCTCATCCTCCATGGAGTTGCCACACTTGCTGGAGGCTGACACAGTCTCCAGGTGCAGCGAGTCCAGGAGTGAACAGATTGCGTTCCCATTGGGAGGATCAGATTAAACAGTCACCACGTCTCTAGAAACTATATTGTGTGAGGGGAGAGATGTGACTTTAAATATTAGAGTTGCACTTGACTCAGGAGATGCACTTCCCGTGAGGGCAAGGCCACTGGGGGAGGGGCCAGTCCTCCACCCATGTTGCCTTCACTCAGTGGCACAGGTTCTTTGAGTGAAAAGCACCCATTAAAATTTTTTCATTTATTTGGGGTTTTTTTCAGCTAAGCACATATATTTTAGTTTTACATAAATTAAATTGACTTCAAAGACATCATAATGCCTACAGTTTGTGAGGCTCAGGGCTAATGATCATAAGCCACATGACAACCCTTGGATGGATCTTGCCATCATTCCCATTTTACAGACGAGGGGACTGAGGCCACACAGTTAGTATTTTATGGCTAGGATTTGAACTCAGGCAGCCAGGCTCCAAAGGGCTTTACATTAACCTCTACTATGAGGCCTTTTAAGTATGTTGAGTATGGATCTCCTGGTTTCCACTCCCTGACACCACTGGGGTGGGATCCCTGGTGCCAGCCTAACTCCAGGCTCAGCAGGGCCTTGGCTCTAAGAGTCTTGCTCATCTTCCACCTGCTCAGTGCAGGCATGTGCTGCTCTGTCCCTCAGCTTTCCCAACTTTGAGTGGAACTCACTTTCCATCTGAGTGTCTGCCATCCTGTGTGCCTTCAAAACCTTTGTTTCTTTCTAGGCTCCCCAAAATACTGCAACAGAGGAGGCTACCTG